AGCCTGGCCGATGCTTGTCTGGCACAGCCATGGGTGAGAATGTGTGCCAAACAAATGAGCCCTGACTGCAGGCAAAACTTGAGGCGGGTACTGCCGATGACAAGGAACTGCCAGAGAGACAGAGGACCCGATGACTAAAATGGCAATCATCTGGAACATAGAAGACGAGGACCTCTTGTCAGAAGATGAGGACCTCTCCTTCTTGGTGATTCATGTTTGAACATGCTGCGCATCCCTCGGATCCAATCCTGCGCCCCCCATGCGCCGAAAATGCTGTTTTTAACGCAACAAGCAGCTCCAAGGCACCCAAAACACCTTTACCAGCTGACCCCCAGAGCTCGCGAAATTTGATAGGATGATGTTCCCCGAGAAGACAAGCCCAACTTTGCAAGCTTCACTGTCAACGCAGGGCCAAAACAGTGCCAAACCAAGTTGCGGAGCTGAGCTGGTGCCAGCAAAATTGGGCGGGTGGTGAAGGGTGCAACAGCCGATGGTGCGGCTGCTGTGTCGGCGCAGCTGATGCAAATTGCCGCCTTCCAACCCTTGACCAAAGTCTCCTTGGCAAAGGTGTTGGGCAAGGCGTCCGGTGAGCAAGTAGAGGTGAAACTGCAGGCAGTGGTAAAGTCTGCTGCCTCCGTCAAAGATGCGGTCCCGTCACTGGGGACATGTTTGCTGTCGGCGATGTCAATGAGGTGATCCTTGGGGGGAACTTCTTGACTGGTCTGTTTGCAAATTTGGTTGACGAAGGTTTGCGGGGGAACCTTGCTCTCGCGTTGCCATGGCTCGACGAGTGCCTGACTTCTTTGAGGGATGGCGTGAAGCGCTCCATCTGCAAATGGCTCCAACAGACAAGCGCTACCTGCCCCTTGTTCGTAGCCCAGCTTCTTGCCGAATGTGGCAGAATCGCTTTCCACGAAGGTCCTTGGGGATGTGAACATTTTGCTGAATTCAACGGAAGGCCAGGACAGCAAGCAGACGGCGCATGGTTTCGGCTTCAGTTTTGTCTTCCACGCCTATGTCAAGCACTTCCCCGCAGAGGCCGTTGATGTGAACTTGCCTGTGGCTGCAGCCGGTGGCCAAAGTGATCAGGCTCCACAACGCAGAGTTCATGCTATCTTTGTGTGTTGTGCTGGAGCATTGCTGGGAGTTGCTAAGCACGTCGCTGTGTTGAAGCAGGAGGCGGACGCTTCAACTCAGGCACGCGCGCTGACGGAGCTCTTCCCAGAGTACGCAGCGGCTGTGAAAGCCAAGAAAGACAAGGACTTTGAGTGGCAGACCAAGCCCTCCTTGCTGCGCAACCGCCGCAGCCTCTTCCAGGTTGCTGCCGAGTTCGACACCGTGTACGACCTTGCCACCAAGTCCGCTGGTCTCCGGCATCCAGAGCTTTTGTGAAAAAGTTCTTGTCCGAAGTCGTTTGCAGCTTTGCGTCCGAAATGAGCGAAGTGAAGCAGACTATGATCACACTGTACGCAGGCACATCCTTTTCGAACTATGAATGTAGTGCCCCTAAGCATAAGCGCCCTGAACCTTGATAACTGATAGATGATAGACTTAGGGCTTTAGGGTTTAGGGTGTATGGTTTAGGGGTTGAAGGTTTAGGATGGAGGGTTTTAACTTTTAAGCCTAAACCAACTAATTAATTGCTCGAACAAAAGATTCAGCCTTAGCCCACGCCCACGCCCCTTCAAGCCTGCTGTGAAGGTGCTGCTTCAAGGCACAAGCTGGGGATGTTCACGGAGGACCCGTTGGACAAGCAAGCGATCCAGGCTCTGTGTTGCGACGACGACATGCAAAATATTGCGATTTTCGTTTCCAAGGTTGAGCGCTTCTTGACGGAGCTTGCAACAATCCTGGCAGACTTGCAGGGGTTGCCTGTGCCAGCTTGGTCGACTGAGGATGCCAAAGCTTTGATGTCAGGCCTTGCGACCGATGTGAAGGAGTTTCAAGCAACTTCTGTGGCAGAGACGACCGGGGCAAGTTCCATTTCCTTGGCCCACATCTGCAGGCTGCAGGCCAATATGACGCTCGGTCAGGCATTGCGTCGTGATCTGCAACCTGGCCAGACCAGAATTGGCCTTGCGAACCGATACATCATGATCCTGGACAAGAGGCAGGTGAGGGCTGACGTAGCTTTGATGAAGAAAGCATCCGCCCAAAGTAAGGGCAAGTGACGCGGGCGGCAACAACAACAGGTACCGGGACCGGTCGTGCGCTCTCCCAATCAGGTTTGGAAGTTTTAGCTATGGTGCTATGAAACGTAGGCATAAACGATGTTCCACTTGCGCTTGGCTTCGTCTTAGAACTGCTGGGGGCTTTTCTCAGAACAGCAATCTTTGAGTGTTTGTTCCTCGGGGTGTTTGCTTAAATTGGAGATGGTAGTCCGTGGAAGGGTTGTAATATGTTATATGTGATAATTTTTTTTTGTAGATCCCGATTTTTGAAACATCCCGATGAATTATTGTAGCCTATGCCGGCTGAAAACCAGCCATCGACAATAAACGGAGAGGGGCTCGAGATGCTTGCAAAATTGCTGGAAGAGGCCAGATTCTGATCGCTGTTGCATGCAAAGCCAGACACGATTAAGAGCATAATCGACCAAATATTTTGAGCATAATCGAAAACCTTTGGGGCATAACCGAATGCTCAGACCCCAAGGATCAAGAGCATAATCATCCTATAAATCAAACGTGCTAGAGGGGACGCCCAAAGTACGGCTATCTTGCTCACACATCTCAGCTTTGGGAAACCATGGGAAATCAATATATGCTTTGGTTGTTTTTTAATCTTTGTTTGTGCGTGGAGGATATGACTCCCTCCCGCCATGCCAAGACACAGAAAAATACCTGGGGTTGCATTTTGTCAAGTGCTGTGCGCACTTCTGACGCAGTAGCCTTTCGAGTGCAAATGGTCCAAATGAGAGATTCAAGAATTCAAGATGTCATGTGTTCACTCCTGCATGTTTTTTATATCCTTTCGCACTTGGCCTCGAAACCACTTTTCCAAACCTTCAGACCTTTCAGATAAAGCTGCAGCTTCAGATTTGCTTTTATTCTGATATTCGTTTGCTTTTCAGCACCCACTTTTCCATGGGAGCTTGGGAAATCATCACATGCCTTGGTTGTTTTTTCAACTCTGCTATTCGATGTTTTCATTTTCTCTTTCGCTCCCGCCATGCCTAGGACAAAAAACGCAACGTCTGCTTTCGAATATTGTGCACACTTCCCAAGCAGCAACGTTTTGATTGAAAGTGGTCCAAATGATGTACTGAAACTGAAAGACTGTACGTTGCGATTCGAGGCGTGCAATTCGATCCATCAATTTTCTTTGCCTTTGACATTGGCAGTGCCTTCCCGCGTTCCGAATCTGGATCGTCGTTCAGAAGTATGGTTGGAATTGCAGCCGGAATTTCCAACCTGTCGCTCACCTTTGCTCCCCGCTCAAATGAGGTACGTTCATTGGGAGCGTTTTCGAATCCCCTCCAAAATTTCATTCCTGTAATGAAAAAGGCAAACCTGCAATTTCTCAGCAAGGGATGGTGAGCCCATGTGGATAGGTTCTTTCGACTTGGCAATCTCCGTGCGGCCCATGCGAGCTTGACCTTTTTTTGGCTGATGCGGAGGTCTTGGTGTTGCAGGCGAAATTTGGTACGGGTCCGTCAAGTACCGTTCCCAGTGAAAGCTGGGCATATGCCATATGCTTTCCGAAGCAGCGGAGCTGAGCTGCCTGCCATTGTGAGTGTTGCAGTAACCGGGCCGGTGTCATCCTGGGAATTCACATTCTTTTCTTGGGTTTGGAAATGGATTTGTTGTAGCGCAAAGCTATGTCAGGGATGTTCCTTGCCAGATTCAGTACGCTGTGACCTTTTCGGATCCAGCTCCTTCAACTTCGGTTTTTTGTCGTAGGGCGGGAAGGCGTGTTCTGAACCTTTGTCCTTTTGGCCTTTCCGGTGTTGTGCCGTAGCCTTGTTTGGACATGTGCGAGCCATGGCCACCATTTTAACTTCTACATGCCATACTCGAGCCGCTTTCCACATGTGCAAGAAGTGTCCAGTGATGTCAGAGCAACTTTTGTGGGTCGCAAGGGACGCCCGTCTTTTATGCAACTTCGGCCTACACTTTGGCTGCCTATGCCACCATGGAAATGACCCCATTCACCGCAACGATTGGGGTTCTCAGTTTTTCCTGAGGCGGTCGTGCAATATTGCCCTCATTTCGTAAAACAGAAGCTGCGGGCACCAGTTTGCAACATTTTTGTTCAGACTGCTAGGTTACATATTTAAACACGTTTCAAGGAAAGATGATCTCTGATTGTTGGTAAAAGGCCTGCCAAGAGTTTCCAGTGCCGTGTTCAGCGGGTGTCCAAGGCCAAAGCTCGAGCAAGTTCTTGAGCATGGAGCATTTAGAAGGGATTGTAGCACAGTGTCTCAGCTAGCAGACATTCTTAATGTTTCATTCGGATACGGGTGAGAAAGATGTGCTCCTGCAGCACACAAAGCATGCAACTTCCACCGAGCCATGGATTGTTCCCATCTCAGTTCAGAAAGAGTTCTGCTTACATTACCATTTTCTTACCAGTCTTTGGACAATCTCTCTGCGCACATGAGGCCTTGCGTGTCGCATGCAGTTCATGCTACAAAATCCTTGCCGGTGTGTGGCTCAAAGTCCGAAACATATCACGACATTTCCCCGATCATTGCTTCCATGAATCCTGGCCTGCTTGAGGCTGGTTTCTATTCAAAGTTGGCTCAGGCTGAGGACTGCGGCGTGAAGTTCAGCATTGGGGCTGTGTGGTCCAGAAGTTGTGGGTTTTGGACATTGGGCAGCTTACTTGCAGGGCCCACATCTTCCAGGGCCGAGCAGGCCAAAGGCGCTCCAGGCGCCATCAGGGCAAAAGCCATCAAATTGCTTGAGATTGAATGCAGCAACGCCTACTGAGGCTCTGCCATCAGAGCCTGGCACGGTGCGCATGTGGAGAACTCAGATGATAACAAGACATGGGCTTGTTGTGCTGGTTAGTATGTCCACTGGAAGTTCAGGCGACCGCCAGACCTTCTGCAGCACCTTGACCAATCGGCTAGGGCAGCTCATGCAAGTTCACAGACACCTGCCCACACAGGGCCGCAACCAAATGCCACGTCAAGTGTCCAACTTAAAGGGCAGCACAGCTCCAGCCATCACCTTTCCCACGTGGCGGAAGCAAAGGCAGGGCAGCCTTTACGCTTGCAGAGGTGTGGCTCACAAAGCAGTTCACCTCCACAGACTCCATGCCAGCCGAGCCTGCATAGCCCACATTCACAGGCTCACCAGGCTGCAAAGCACAGCCAACCACCAGCACAGCCACAACTTCCAGTGGAGGCGCGCGGCCTCCATGGTGAACATGCTCCGGCAGAGCAGGCGCCAGTGTCTATTCTTGTTTGCATATGTTACTTGGGCTGTAAGCGGGACTGTGTGCTGTTAGCCGCAGCTGTTAGACGGCTCCAATTGTAGCATGGCACATGCTTAAGGAACATGCTCGCACCACTAGCGACAACCTTACACGCCAACAAGCGAGATGGATTGGTCCAACCAGATAAGTCCTTCAGAGCAGATTCTCTGCAGCGTGGACGGCCGCCACGCGAACAGCCTTGGGCATGGAGGCTGTTTACTTTCAATGGGTTGCAAGTCTGTTTGCATCGAACTATGGACAACACCTGTTACAGCAAAAGGTTGTGCTAGCAGAGCGCTGTGCTTTTGATTTGATGAGTTGAGCACGAATATCTGTGGCTTGCGTGCCCCCTACTTTTGCTGAGGCAGGCGATGTCAGCTCCTCTCTACGCAAAGCTGAGACGCGAGAGCCCCAACCACTTGCTGCATCACGGAAGACGAGATGTCCAGCATCAGGCTGTGCTCATGATCTGCACCAGGCTCAAGCGGGATGTGGACTCGGTGCTGGAAGGGCTGGCTGCCAACAAGGCTTGCGAGTAGGTGGCAAGCTTGCTTGCAACTGGAGAGAGGGCGTGTGCTGCGCAAATGCTGAACCGGGCTAGCGGGCCGGACTTGGGGGCAAACCTGGGCGGTTCACGAAAGCAGGTATCCCACATGGTGCAGCATGGTACGATGGATGAAGCCTTGAATGGTATAGGTTTAGGTGGTGGCTAGAGCTTGCCAAGCCACATTTGTTGCGAGTTCGTTGACGTTCGGAGTTCTGGATGCTAATGACAGGTCCTGCTGGGGTGGACAGTACTGGCATGGTGTAGCGAAGCTGGTGGAACATGGCTGTGTTTTGATCTGTTGAGATGTCGGGCGCTTGATGGCAAGGCAGGTTCCGACGTCGCAATGCAGCAGCGCTGGGGCCTTGGAGTGTTGTCCTGCAAGTTTGCCAGCCCCGAGCAAGAGATCGCCTTCAACTTTGAAGATTGTTGAGCAGCAAAGGCCTCGCAGCCCTTTTTGCAGATCTGACCAACACGACACAAAGAGTGCGGGAAGAGGCAAGATGCAGATTCGCAGCAGCGATGCATGGTCTTGCGTTGTCCAGGTTGATGCGCTGCCTGAAAAAGGGCGTGCAGCCTGGGACAGGAAGGCAACGCGGCTTGAGGAGGATGTGTGCCGTGCTCAGTTTCTATATGGCACGCTGCATGAAACCCAATGATGACACCTGACGGCATCTGCCAGGTCTGTTATCCAGAACGCCGTTGACAAGCAACTTGGGGCTTTCTACAGAGCCGGCGACTAAGCTGCTCGAAGGCGATGCGTTCACAAGGCCAGTGGGCCCAAGGTCAAAAAAGAGGAGGAGAATCGCAAGAAACTTCTCGGTGACCGAAAGAAGAATGATGGCCCTGATGATGAGATGCAGGAGTTTGCTTGTCGTCTGCCTTTCCATAGAGCTCTCTGTTCTGTCATGTGATGGGCAGGGCTTAGTTCGAGAGAATCGGTCTCTGCGGGATTCGGCCACCGCCCTTGACGAAGTCTTGGAGCAGGCAGGCTCTATTTTTGGAAATCTCGTCTGTTCCTCAGTGGGTACAGCTTGACGGGCTTCAATTGATCCATCCTTCCATTTGCAACTGCAGATGAGGTGAATCAAAACAAGGTCCTCAAGAATGCTCGGCGGAAGCTTTTGGATGCTGCGAACAGCATAGGGGTGGGCCCCTTATGGCCATGCTCCTGCTGTACTTGAGAGGCATTGCAGTTGGCACTCTCTCGTGCACTGCAGGTGTCGCAGAGCCTTGTGAATGTAATTGACCGAAGACAGACCGGGGACAAATGGCTGGTCTATGGGGGGTGAGCAGCTGAGAATGCTCGAGGAGCTGTGCTGTTTGGCCTGGCTGCTGCCATGATTTGAGGATGGCTCTAACGCTCTTCATCTTGTTCTCGCTCTGGTATCTGCTTCGAATGTGAGGTTTCTGTGCCCTCTGTGCATGCCACGCTACGATACGTGCCTGATGCTGCAGGAGATCTCGCCAGCGCAGGCCTTCATCTCCGTCACGTTTTTTCCTTGGTGTGGCCACGACTTCGGAATGACAGCTTCACGGAGCAATGATCCTTGAAGAAAGTTTCCTACCCACAGAGCGGTCGTGCCACACCTCTGACTTGCTGCAACAGAGACAGCTGCAGTCCGAAACTGCGCACAGAGATGGCAGCAAGAGCGAAACTTGCCACTTGCCCCTTTTGAAGTCTTATTTTTGCTTCAGTGAGGATATTCCTTGCTCACTGTGCTGAGTTCTTCCTGTCATGCATGACCGGTAGTGCTGCAGAGTGCAGGTGGTCTAGTAACGGACGCTTCTCTGTTTGTTGTGGCGAACTCGGGTGGTTGTTGGTCTTACAGGTAGTATCATCTAATCTGCGGCAGATTTCAGGTTGCATGTCACAGGATTTGCCAGCAGACACTTGCGTTTGGAATTTCTGCCATGGGGACTGATGCGCACCGTCGACGGTGCCGGCAAGGCAGGTCTCCAGTCTGGCGTTCGGCTTTTGGTGTTTGCATGCATCGATTGAAGTTTGCATGCAGGGAAGCAGTTGGCGAACGCAAAGGTGGCAGGCTGCTGGCACCTTGTGGAAGGCCGGCTGGTGGAGCTTCAAGAGCCTCCAAATTTTGACACAGCAGGTTTTGATTCGTGCTTTCAGGCAAGCTTGCTGGACATCAACAAGGCGCCCAAAACCGCAAACGTGCATTTACGCGGCGAATGGCGAATGGCATCTTCACTCTTTGCTGAGGGGCTGGCGGGGGCTGCCAAAAGTGGGCGATGGCGCCTCGTGCTGCTGCAGCTTCGAGAAGTGCTGGGATCCAAGTTGCGGTCTGTGGAGATCTGCTGTCGACTGGTTTTGACAGTTTTGCAAGGAGTGCCCAGCTGAAGTTGGATCTAATCAGCTTCAACTCAGCTCTGTCTGGGCTGGGAAAGGCAGCGTGCTGGCTCCAGGCCGGGTTTGGAAGTGCAAGGCAGCCATTCATGTTAGGAGGTTGTCTCTATGTGTTAGGCGCTCGAGCTGTTCGCGGGCCTAACGGGCATGGCTTTGCTGCCGAACGTGGTTTCGCGTCTGGCCGCCTATTTGAGGGAACCTCTCTCAAAGTCGGCACAGCCATGAACAGCCCCTGAGTCACTGAAGTCACTGAGGCAGTTCCGTTTCATCCAACAAGGCTGGCAGGTGGCAAATGCCGTTGCTGCCGGGCACACAGGCAGATAAGTGAGATTTAAGTGATCTGTGACAAATCTACAAAGCTGTCAATTCCCAGGCTCATGCGCAATGTATTCGAGGATGCCATCATTTGCAGCACAGCGCTGATGGCATGCCGAGGCCGCTTAGGAAAATCTCAGTGAGCTTCAAAACCGAAGACCGTCTTCCGCCTTTGGGGCACTCGTCGCTTGCCTTTGTCAGATCGCAGTCGCATTTTTGTTGAGATGGCATGTTATTGCCAGCCATGCAAGAGTCGGAGGTGGATGGTTGCAATTTTGATGCAAGTTTGATGGTGGCATGAAGAGTTCGACGGAGATGCGACAGGTCACAATTGGCGTTTGCCTCTTCATTTATTTTCTATGTCTCATTCAACTATGCTGCTGCCAAATGTGGAAGCCTCAGCATGCCTCAGCATAAACGTTAGTATTGCTCTTGTCTGTGTTTGTGCAGTGGGCGGCGCATTGAGTAAGCTGTTGATAGACCTCTGGAGATTTCTCGAGTCCGTTTGCTGATCACAGCCCAAGCTAAAACCTACCACCGTGCCATCAATGTTTTTGCGTTTTCACGTCAACTGCTGCAGGAGACATTGTTTGGAACATGCTTTTGCGTGTAGGCTTTGATGGTCCATTCTTTGACCGCAGAATCAGCATACAATGAGTCGGGAAAGGCGTTCCCTGTCAATGTTTTTGCTTGCGAGACATGGGGGAAGGAAATTTAGGAAGTCGTCCTGAATTGCGTTTCAAAGGGGATATGATTTGGAACTCGTTGTGGATGCGGCATGTGACTTACCAAAAGCACCAACCATGGGAGGTAAGAACGTCGATGCGTTTTCAAGGTGTCAAGGGGTTGTTGCGTTTCAAGCCTCCCTAAGGCGATCTGCACATACAATTCTTGGTGTTATCATGTTCTGTAAGCATTTGATCGCAATCGTCTAGGGGGATGGAAACTGCATTACGTATTGCGAAACGCCTTAGAGCGCGCTTGGTTTGCTCGTCCGGCATGTTGCAGCGGTACTTCTTTGGCGATGGCGTCTGCTTAAGGAACGGACAAAAAGCAAGCAACAGAAAACAATAGAAGCTTCATGATGTATCCTTAGAGCGTGCTCGAGTACGCTCGGCTTGCTGTGTCCGGGATGTTGAAGCGGGACTTCTTTGGCAAGGGCGCCTTCCTGAGGAAAGGACACATTGCAAGGACTTTGCCGGAGCCCGGTCGTGGTCTGCGTCTATTTGTGGACAACTTCAAAATCCCAAACTGCAAGGACTCCTAGGTTTTCACTTGGATTTCTGAGGCTGTTAATTGCGCTTACATTGACACGGTCCAAAGGTTCCACCTCCCAAACTTCAAGGTGTTTGTTCACTTGCTTTGGCCAGGCGTTCACTTGCAAAGTTCCGACATTTGGCGATTGCCCTTCTGGAGAAGTTGCCATGTTTTCATATACTTCGGAGATGCTCTTGATGATTGCGTTTACATGGGCCAAAGAGCTTCAACTCCCAACTATCAAGATGTTTGGTGGCTTGATTTAGCGAAGCGTTCACTTGGAATTCTTGCAAACATCGCACATTTGGCTACGAAAGAAAGTTCTCATGATCGCTGCGTTTTCATGGTGGTTTGCTTCCCAGGGGTCGACTTAGTTGACTTCCCGATCCCTGGGCGTTCAAGGGAGTTCTAAGCTTTCCTAGAGTAAAGGGGTGCCTTTCCCAAGTTCCTGCAGTGCTCCCGATGAGTCACAGCCATACTGCAGGCAG